ATGAGTTTGGTGAGAAGGTCTGGGGTCTGACGCCGTGGGCGTGACGTATTATTGTTGGTCGCGGTCGTGCGATTGTCGCATGTTGAGAGTGGCGATCGAGCGACCGTGACACCCTCCCCCCTTCCACCAAACTTTACACTTGGCACAGTGCAGTCAGGAAAGTACTGTTCTGCTGGCAACCGCCAAACCCAGACACATCCATCAGATTGCCAGACAGAGAAGTGTGATTCTTTAGCTATTGACTCTGCAGACAGTTGGCAACTTCTGCGCACTGTGCGCTTCAGCATGGGCTGACCCCACTCTGTCACTTTACGTGGCCGAGTTGCTGTTGTTTCCAGTTGCTTCCACTTTGTTATAATACACTAACAGTTGACCGTGGAATATTTAGTAGCCAGGAAATTTCACGGATGGACTTATTGCACAGGTGGCAACCTATCACAATACCAGGCTTGAATTCACTGAGCTCCTGAGAGCGACTCATTCTTTCACAAATGTTTGTAGAAGCAGTCTGCATACCTAGGTGGTTGATTTTTTTTACACCTGTGGCCATGGAGGTAATTGGAACACCTGAATCCAATGATTTGGAGGGTGTCCCAATACTTTTGGCAATATAGTGTATCTTCAAATATATAGTGCAAGAGCCAGCCTGATTGCATACAAATTGAAAGTGTTTAGGTTTGACCTCATATTATAAGGTTTTGGTAAATCTAAAGGAAAATTGTACAAGAAAATTGTTTAATGTATGGCTATCCAAACACGGGTCCCAACCCTCTGTTTATGCCCTTTGTACAGCTTGCTAAATATTGAGGCCTACAATTTTTTTTCTAAGTCAGTGGTGCATATTCCTGTAGCTGGCAGTGTGACGCTGTTCACAACATCAATGTTATTTTCTGCAAGACACAAAAATGTATTTACAGATGTGCAGCGGTGCCATTCATTTTTAATGGTACTCCCACGTATCTTGCTAGCAAAAGGCATGGTAGCCCAGGCACCTTTTTATGTGTATTTCTCATGCATAGAGCAGCCATTTCAAATAGACTGCCTGAAACATGATGTGTGGGAACACGCAGAAAAGTGCAAGCGCTTTGCCGCATCTGCATGGTGCGAATGCAGTTTAAGTACAAAAATCCTATTTTTCTTTGCATGGGAAAAGCACAGGCCCATGCTATGGTTTTTTTCTTAACTATGTATCTGGGAGTTGGAAAATACATAAATCAAATAGTGAACTGGTTAAGAGTCTCTTTATGTTTGAGGTTAAACTTGTATATCAGCCAAAATTGTGTATTTTTTTTACTTTCAAGCCCCTTTTTATTAGAAACACATGTTACATCTTTGTGCATAGTTTCTATAACTCTGTTTTGACTGAAACGTTTTTGGAACATTACGTGGAGCTGTATTTGGGCTGTTTCAACTGAGACTTTATAATAACCAGATGCTTGCCATCTTATAATCAAATATGAAAAATACCTGAAAACAAAGGACCTTTGAAGTGATAGGTACAGCATTATAAAATTGGTGTGTTCTCTGCTTCATAGGCTGTTCTCAGTGGCAACAGTCTAGTTGATGCTTTCGAAAAAAGCATGTTTGATAGAAAGGATCTCATGAAGCTTGCAGATCATTTTTTACAGTGCTATTAAGAGTAATTCTGAAGAAGTCCTCAATTTTCTTTCCCAGTGTTTTATATTTTTAAATTATTTTTAACACCAAAGAGAAATGTAGAGGCATTTTATGTTTGAAAAACTATTTTCTGTTTGTAGTAAGGACATAAATGTTTGTTATTTTCAATTACTATAAATTGTATATAACCTCTAACAATTAACTTCTCCTGTTCATCCCCTTTTCATGCCATTTAAAGCATTTTGTTATGTTATTTTCGATAATAGCAAAAAAATATATTGATTCTGTCAGAAATCTTGTGAACTGATAAGTTTATGTGCTCTTTGGCGTACACTGCACTCCTTTATTAGTTAGCATGCTAGCAAACACTTAGGACTACAACCCCCTCCATGTTATGGAGGAGGGGAGGGGAGTGTAGGACTACTGTGACAATAGTGTTCCTCCATAAATACAGTATGGTGATTGGCTCATGTTACTTGTGTTATTAACATAGACTGGCACTTACCAGTTGTTTTATTACTTTTTCTTAAACTCGACAAATAATAATATGTCTCAGATGGCAGAAGAAATGGCTTGGTTTGGTGAATGGCTCAAATTACACATTATTAATATAGACTTGTGCTTGGCAGGATTTTTTTTCACTTTATTTCTTAAACTAAACAAAAGAATTAGTGGTTATCTTAGGTGGCAGAAGAAATGTCAGGGGTTGGGGAAAGCGTGGTTCACATCAAAGGATTAAAAAAAGTTCTGTGTTAATCAGTTGAAATAACAACACATTTTCTCATTAATTGGATGCCTGATTCTGTGGATCAATCAAGATTACAGTGTTTGTCTTAGCAATGATTATTTTATCTCTTCAGTTTCTTCCATGTTCACAGCATTTAATTACAATAAATGACATAGTATATGAAGATAAGGAAAGCAGACATTTGATTACAGATATGAAGTCCCTCCAGCAAAATCATTTAATTTTAAGATCCTGGACACTGACTGCAGTCAGCTCATGACTGGTGAAATGTGTTTCTGCTAAGATTTATAGAAGGACTGTCCTCCACTAATCAAAAGAACAATTTATAGCTTATATATTAATAATTATGGGCAGATTCTACAAAACATAGTTTACATGACAATTATTCCTGTATAGTAGTGGGGGCCTCAAGTGCAACCCGCAACACTTCCAGAGAGCCACACAACAGCAGCACATTTTGTGCATTGAAGTGTGTTGCTTCAAGTTGGGCAGTCAATTTCCAAATGAATAGTCTATAATGCGTCTCAGTGGCCAAAAATGTCAATCCTCCTGCATTTTTTGCAGCATATCACAATGCACACTGAAGCAGTTAGAGTACTATAACCCCCAGCATTGGTGTCAAAGACGGTACTAATAGCCCTCAGAATTTGCATCGGTGCAAAAAAAAACAAAACCCAGCATTGTTGTCATTGGACACAATAACACCCCATCGTTGGTATCAGTGGACGCAGAAACCCTCCTCCCCATCATTCGTGTCAATGGACACCACATTAAACCCCTCATAATTGGTGTCTGTTAACGTAGTAACATCCCATCATTGGTTTCAGTGGATGCATTAACGCCCTGTCATTGGTGTCAGTGAGTGTAATAATATCCCCCAACATTAGTGTCAGTGGATGCAATAATAACCCTCAACTTTGCTGGCAGAGAGCACAGTAATAACTCCCAGCATTGGTGTCAGTGGACACAAAATTACTCTCAGCATTAATTCAGTGGAGGCAATAATAGCAATCAGCACTGGCATTGATGCACTGGGCACCAGGGCTATATAGCATTGACAATTCAATACATTTTTCTTAGCTGCCATTTTACTTTGGCAGACCATATATAATATTCCACTTGTACACCATCCTATGGTTCATCTTTATGAATAGTTTGAATTTCAGCCAATTCAACGGGAGTTTGCTGATATTTGAGACACCTTTATGGACCTAAAGTCTCTAGGTCTTCAGACCACAGGGTCCATATTTTAGCTGCAGATATCTAAAATAAAAATGAGGCTGAATTAGCTTATCAGGTTATGACATGTGTGCAGGTTATCTTGCATTGTAGAAAAAAGCAAAAGCTGTAGATTGCCCTACATATAAAGATTGTGTGCTGGGTTTGTATCTTAACTGTTAAACAGATTGCAGCTATTTCCCAACTCAATCCTATGCTTAGTGTTGTGGTATTTAATACTCTGGACAAAGGTTATGGGTGGGGACATTTGTAGTAGATGTTTATCATAAAAAGTATGTTTATCAGAGTATACATGACATTTCAGGTGTTCGATTGTAGTGTGACCAGTAGACTATTTATTTTATAAGATTTGAATTAAAGGTTAAGTTCACCTTTGGAACTTGTTACATGTTCCACTTGTATATAGAGTGGAACATGTCATATATTCCAGCATCTGCAGCCCCCCCCCCCCCATCCCATCTTCTCCTGCACTCACTGTCACATTTTGAAACTAGTGTGGCCGTGTGGGCTCCTGCAAATTAATGCCTACAAGTACCGTCAGCCATTGTTTGTGGTCCTCAATGAACTATGAGGGCGCTGGTGAGTGCTTTCAGACTCCATTGATCTTCCTGCTCTCAGGTAACTGCCTGCCAGTAAGAGGTATGGGCAGACATCTAGCCTGAGAGTCTGCAGGAGCCAGAGATTGCACCCGTGATCTGCTCACTGTGGGTGCAATGCTCTGCAGTCTCTTTAGAAAAAAAAACAATAAATGCACATTTTTCTCTTTCGTTCATTGATGAACACAGCATCTTCTATTATCGACCATAGGCGTCATAACCCTATGGTCTAGAATAGAAGACACTGTGTCCGTTAATGAATTCAGAGAAAGGAATTTTACAGTGAGTAACAGAAAAATCCTGTTTTCTCTTTCATTCATTGATGGACACAGCATTGATTCCTGACCATAGGGTTGTATGGCCACCTATGGTCGAAAATAGAGGATGCTGTGTTTGTCAATGAACTCGGAGAGAGAGATTTTTACAGTGAGTAACAAAACAATCCTGGTTTTTGCCTGCAAAAAAAAGTGCATTTTTTATTTTTTTCAAAAGGTGAACGTATTCTTTAAAGCAGAAATAAAAACCGTCCTATCCTTTAAAACCAAGGAAGCTACCACTTTAGCCTCTGTTTAACCTGCAGTTGCTTTGGTACTGCACGTTTATCAGTTTTTACACCAGCCATTTGATGGCTTGACCGTTCAATTTGGAACACAAGCAACGGTGACAATTGTTGTTCACAACATGCCTTGAATGTAACTGTTTTGGAAAACCGTTAAATTGATGGGTTTAGTACCACTTTAAAGGTCAGTTTTTAATGATTTTAAAATATTCAGCATCTTTTTTATTCTTCTGTCCCTTAGGATCCCACACAGCTGGATAAATTCAATGTCTCAAATTTCTACCATGTCAAAAACAACTTAAAAGTCACAGACCCTGGTGAGTTTAGTTATTTGCATTTTGTGAGAAAATCTAGGCTTACTAGACTACTTTTTTTTTTGTGGTTTTATATGATTTGTGATAATACTAAATTTTCATTTTTGTTGTGATCAGAGTTAAGCTTTATATCACAAGTGAATTAATGTTTGACTACTGTAAAATGGTATAACATTTTTCTCCACCTAACATAGGTGTGAATCTGTGGAAGTGACCAAAGCAGTCACTGTGATTTTTGTGTTATTTTTTTAAAGGATAAGTTCACCTTTGGAAACACGTTACATGTTCCACCCATTTTTAGGGTGAAAGACGGCCATGCAGGGCTCTGCCCACCTGGCTGTGTCAGGGAATGGGAAACTACAAGTACCAACTGCCTTTACGGCTGTGGGCTTGTAGTTCTCAATGAACTACCATGGTGCTGTTGAGTGCTTTGGTAGTTCATTCTCTCTTGCTGTCAGTGAATATATATGCTTGCCCATACGAGCTACGAGTGGACAGATACACTGATAAGTCTGCAGGAGTCTTACGTGGCACCCTCGATCTCCTAATCGTGAGTGCAGTGCTTTACAGGTTACAAGTAAAAAAAAAAAATAATAAATGCACATTTTTTTACCTGCAAAAAGATGTTCATTTATTTCTTTTAAAAAAGGTGGACTTATCCTTTTAAGGTGGCCACAGACATGGCTTTTTAAATTTATTATGCAGGTTATTTATTTTATTTTTTTCAGGTACTTGTATAGCGCCATCAATTTAGGCAGCGCTTTACAAAAAATATATATATATATACTAGGGCCAATTTAGACAGGAGCCAATTTAACCTACCAGCATGTCTTTGGAGTGTGGGAGGAAACCAGAGTACCCACGCGAACACAGGGAGAACATGCAAACTCCATGCAGGAGGCGCCATGGTTGGGAATTGAACCCATGACCCAATTACTGCAAGGCAGAAGTGCTAACCACTAAGCCACTGTGCCGCCATTGTTAAAATCTCTGGTTGTCAAGGTTTGTGGCAAGTTGATTGTCTGCCTACTGTAAAACCTACTATTTGCATGCATTTCTGAAAGACGTTAATAACTATGTTAATTTTTTTTTTGGCACTTTATGCTTCCAGCGAAAGTTTGTTCTGAACAGAACTACAAACCAGTATTGTATAACTAGAGGTAAAATGTGAAATATAGAGTCTTGTCCTCTAATGCTATGATCTATAAATTAGATGAGGAGAAAGCACGTCAAGACCCTCAATACTACCTGAAAAATGCCAACATGGAGACTCGGGAGACACTGAGCGAGCTGTACAAGGAGTTCAAAGGTGATGAAATTCTTGCTGCCACTATGAAGGGCCCTGAGAAGAAGGCAACCGATAAACTAAATGCTGTGAGTATTTGGTATTGAGCATTTTAGGTTTACCATTTTATTCTAAGAGTACAACTAGTAAAATTTTTAATTTTAGTTTGAAAGGTTTGCCTGTTTGGGCTGAGGAGAAATCAGAGATGTTTGGAAATGTCAGGAACATCATTATAGCTTTGGCTGGAGTTCTTTCATCATGCTTCTCAGATCCAGGCATGCACTTAACAGAAGGTATAAAGAAAAGGTTCCAATCGACTTATAGGCAGGGGCGTATCTACCGCGAGGCAAACAAGGCATTTGCTTAGGGCGGCAATTTTTAGGGGAGTGTCATCGCCCCCCAGAAGAAGGGACCTTTTGAGCAGTGGCAGACAGAACCATGCAGGGCCACCATCAGAGGGGTACTACTGCTACTCTTGCAGTGGCACAGACAGCAGCAGGATCGATGTGGTAGGGCGTCGGGAAAGGTAGTTGCAGAGCGATGCTCTTGTACCTCTCCCTCCAGCAGCTGATGAGCCAGGACCAGGGGACAGCCTGGAGCAGGCATAGCAGAAGTGGCGGAGATGAAAGAGGCTGGAGGAGGTGAGCTGTGTTATGTTCTGTGGGATCTCCCTCCTGTCGTCCATCCACACACCCCCCCCCCCCCCTTCCCCCTTCCTGCTGCCCGGAGATCAGCAGCCCTTGGAGGAGGTGTGAGTATGTGTGTGCAGTCCCATTGATCTGAGAAAGAGGGAAAAGAGAGAGGAAGAGGGAAGAGAAGGAAAAGAGAGAGGGGGAAGAGAGGGCGAAAGAGGGAGGGAGAAAGGGGGAGAGAGAGCGCAAATCATATATACATACACACACTTATTGACTCTCTTGCTCTATCATTGGGGGGCGCAACATTTTTGTGTTGCCTAGGGCAGCACAAAATCTACATAGACCACTGCTTATAGGAAGACTGGAGTATGCAGATTTTTTTATGTGCCAAATATCCATATACATTAAGATAAAATACAACTTTATTTGTGCACTAAAATACAGGACAATTAAAAGCCATATCCTGTAGGTTCATCAAATAAAATGATACATATTCTAGAAATCTTAGTGGATCAATGCATTTCACATGCAAGTTGCTTCCTCAGGATCCACTTGAGTTGCCCTAGGACAGGGGTAGGCAACCTGTGGCTCTCTAGCTGTTGTGGAACTACATTTCCCATGAGGCCTTGCAAAGATTACAAAACTGACAGTTACAGCTATGACTTGCAGAGGCATGATGGAACTTGTAGTCCTGCGGCTCTCAGGTTGCCTACCCCTGCCCTAGGATAGATACCAAATAGTCTAAATGAAAAACCGAAAGATCCAAGGGATACTGATGTAGTGCATAGCTACCGATGCAAATTGTCAACATGGGCTCCTTCTTTCGCTTACACAAAAAGTAGGCCCAATCAAGGGATCAATGAAAAAATACCAGACAGGGACACCAGGGGATCTGAAAATCACTACTGGATAGGGAAAGTCAGCAATCCGACAACAATTAGGTTCTCTGCTAAATGTGTATTCCCTTATCAAGAATCATATGGTGTCCCTGCCTCCTGGCATGGTTACAATATAATGCCACAAATGAAAATCAGTGTTGGTGATTAGTTCTTTAGTTTTGTTGGCACTTGTAGATCAGGACAACCAGAGACCCAGAACTTTTTTTTTTTGTGTTCAGATGGTGGGGCCCTTGCATTGTGGCCTTAGAGTAATTGTTAGAGCCATGGTTGATTTACAGTGTGGTCGAAGCAACATTCTTTGAAACACCTACAGGCCTTTTTGTAGGCACTTACTGTGGCCAACCTGAATGCGTTGCCTGCTGGCTCTGTGTTTCATGCAAGCCCTTTTATGCCAGAGGTGAAGTAAACTGCATCCAGCATGGCAGATTATTTTACCAGGCAAGGGATAGGTAGGGTATAAGGAAGTTATATAATCTTCTTACATATTGTTATAGGTTCTTTAATTTAATTGGACCATAGTTCTGTTATAACCAGATCTGTGTATTCTTTATGGCAGGCGCATTATTCTACAGGAGCTGTCAGTGCATCTTTCACCTCCACAGCCATGACTCCTGAAACTACCCATGAGGCTGGTAAGATCCTCTCCTTTTTTCACTGATTAGTGTTTTAATCCATTTGTAATCAAGCTGTCCTGGTCTCAGATTATAACTGGAACTCATGCCACTCATTATGCCTTATTTATTATAGTGTATTTTGTTACGACCTGTTAACCTTTTACAATAAAAATTTCAGGCAAACCTAAAACTTGCTGTATACTTTTAACAGTTTTTCAAACCATTTTTCACTGACCTTTTTCTATTAAGTTGGCTTTCATACTTTTTACCATTGTGATGTCCTCACAGGACTCCTACAACTTTAGTCTCCAGCAGCTGCTGATTAGAGGAATTTTCAGGACACCCTTTTAGCCCATGTAGGGGCGCTCCTAATTCCTACAGCTCACAAGAGCCCACCCAGACAGTAGGATTCAGTACTGCATGTGTGTGAAGTGGAAAAGGAGTCAAAGGATAAGTTCACTTAAAAAAAAATAATAATAAATGCACATCTTTTTGCAGGTACAAAAGTGCTTTTTTATTTATTTATTTTTTTTAGGAGCCTGTAAAGCATTGCACGCATGATCAGTGGGTGTAATCTCAGGCTCCTGCAGACAGTCAGTGTAGCTGTCTGCCCATATCTTGTACAGGCAGGCAGATACTGAATGACAGGAAGCATCAATGAACTACTAGAGTGCTCACCAGCGCCATGGTAGTTCACTGAGAACTACAAGCCGTCATCTGCAATAGCTGATGGTAGTTGTACTGTTCCCATTCATTCATAGAACGCTAAGAGTTAAGGATGCGACTGGGTGGGCGAAGCCCTGCACTGCTGAATTTTTAAAAAATTGTGACAGGGAGTGATGAGAGGAGAACATCGACCTGCTGCCACAAGAACTACCTGTCATATGTGCAAATTCCGCAGCATGCAGACATAATAACATGATTGACTGATTAATACAAAATTAAACTTTCATTAAGCAGGATTTAAATTTATTTTAAAATTGGCTTCATTTACATCTCATAAATTGCATTGTTTTTTCATGTTATGTCTACTTTAGTGAGACATTTCTGTTATAAAAGGTCTCTCCTTTTTTTTTTTTTTTTTTTTTTTTTTTTTTTTTTACATCTGGTTGTAGATGGATCAAAATTTGAATGGTTCAACGGGGACTGGGCAAATTTTGATCCATATATAGCCATTCCCATTCAATCTAATGATCAACTCCTTCCGTCTTGAGACCCTGCTGTCAAAACACAGTAGCACATTGGGGAGGATTCTCCCTTCCACCTTTTTTGTGTGGATGGGGGAATCCATTTGTTGTTTTTTTTTTTTTTCGAAAGTCATCTATGGCCAGCTTAAAGTGGAACTGAATTCTCTCTCAATCAACATTGGCTTTTGGTAGTCCTTATGCTGTTAGCAGATTTATTTATTTATTTTTACATCTGGTTATCGAGGACAAGGCAAAATGATGTCATACATCCCAGGAGTCTTCAGGAGGGGAGGAGAGGTTTTCTCGGTTAGGCACACTCTCCTGACTGCATGCCTGAACTAAGGGCAGATGGATTCTAGGAAGTAAATGCTACATTCACCTACCCTTGCTCAAGATGGTCATGGCCAGAAATACTAGGGTTTTTGTTTTTCAGAGTGATTTCACAGCAAAATAAAGCACGGAGATATGGGTGGATGAGTTTGCTTTTGAACATTAAAAATGAATGAAATTGTTTGTGGTGCTCAGATATAGTTTAGTTCTGGTTTAAGTTAGAACCTTGTTGACCACCATAACTCTATCCAAATAGCACAGATTTCAAGGGTAAGTGACTCCACTACCTTTACTGTTTTGTCTAACACCACTGCCCCTTTTATAATGCAGCGGCCATTGCTGAAGACACTGTACGTTACCAGTATGTGAAGAAGAAGGGCTATGTTCGCCTGCACACTAACAAAGGAGACCTTAACCTGGAGCTGTACTGTGACAAGGCGAGTGATTTATAGCATCAAGTAGTTACACTACTGTAATGCAGTGAGGCAACACATACGGATATGTGCATGATAATTGTTAATCTCTTGGTATGATTCATTATGTGGGCGGATGGATATGTCTAGTCTAAGATAAGTATCAGTATGTTCCATTTTTACATTTTGTACACTTTCATGACTGATGTTCTGATTGTTGAAACACTGATAAGAATGCAAGATAATTATAAATGAAAACATAAGCTGAAACATTAAAGGATTTACTATAAAATAATGCTTTTTTTACCTTTTAATTCTTGAGTAAGAGACTGGGTAGCTGCCATAGCAACACCTTATCAGCTGCCAGATTTTTTTTTTTCCCTTTTTGTTACTGTGGAAACAGAGATCCGGGTGTGTCTTTCTAGCTACTAACTGAAGGGGAGGTGGTCGAGAGAGAAATATAAAGTGCTAAATATTTAAAGAAGTTGTGACCCATTTTATGTGACCTGAAAAATGATGGGATATCAGCTGAGAATTCATATCTGTTCATCTATAAATGTGTTATGCCAACTGTTTCCAGTTACTCCTATTTGCTTATTTTTCCTGTATTAAATTTTACTTAGTTTAAAGCAAAATGTAAAATATATTTCCTGGTCCCTTGCCAATTTGACATACACATGTAGAATATTGTATGTAGCCAGAAAATGTGAAAATTCTGTAACCCTAGAGAATAGTAATCTCTCATGACTGAGCAGCCTTCCCAGGAAAGTCCAAATACGGATACACAAAATGTCAGGATACTGAGAGAGCACCACCAGTATGTGAAAAATAAGTTCAGACAGGGTTTTTTTTTTTTTTCCTTTTGTTCTCATTGCAGTGCTAGTGTTAGCAGAAAATATTAGTAAATATTTAAATGACTAAAAAGTGAGATGACACCTGATAGCCCTACATATCCGGCAAGCATTCAGTTTTGAAAATTACTTCTGTACATGATTTTGAAATAGTTTGTGCTCACATTTCTCCCAGTAAAGTGAAGGTCAGTCTACAACCATCTACAGTTAAAATAGAAGTATGGCCAAACCTTTTTTTGTCCATACTTATGTGGGTCACAGGAGTGCACTTACTTGAGTTCTCCTGTCACCCAAAACCAGAAGGCTAAAATCCGTTGTTGGCTGACTTCAGAGCTGCTCCAGGCTCTGGAAGGATCCCGACAATGTCCAGGATTCACCCAGATGCCTGAATCAGCTGCACCCACCCCTCCAAAGCCCAGCGCTCCTGTGAGTGCTGGGGAGGCAGAATAAAGAGTGGTGACGAACAGTCACCACTCTTTACTTGGAGCAGACCAAGAATGGAACAATTATTGGTCATGTGATAACTTGGTTCTTGGTCTTAGAGCCCATGGGGGAACAGCTGCAGCATCAGACCAATGCTGCAGCATGGAGGGTAGTATGTATGTTTATTTTTTCAGTATCACTTTGTAATGTTCACTGAGACACAGCATTATATGGTTTCAAATGGTGATATATGGGGGCAAGGAAAATGTGACCATTGATGGAGAACTATAGAAACTTCAAGCATAATGTAGCAAAATATAGAATGAATACTGTTGCAGAGTACATTTTTTTTTTTTTTTTTTGGTTTAGAATATAAGTGTAGAGATTCGTAACAGTGGAGTTACCCCTGTGGAGAAGCAAACAAAAGCCTGATAGTAATCTTAGCGATATGTCTTTATACATGAGACCACCATCTTGTATATATCAGCACCTTTAAAATGTGAAGGTCACATTTTCTTTTTAGGTAAACATTGCGGTACGAACCGTATATTCACTGAAAATATTTATTAATGAAAGCATGTAGGGATTGTTTTCTGTTTCCTTTCCCGTGCTTTACAACCCTTCTTAAACCCTAGGTTACCACAACACTAGCCTTTCTACCTAACCCTCGCCAACCCTACAATAAACCATGTTCTTTAAGACAACACCCACCATTCACCATTGCCACCAATCTTGCCCTACCTTGGAGAAGCCACTGTGCTGCATTTGCCTACCATGCCAAAAGTTACCAGTCCTCCTCTGTAAAGATTACTGGCACGTTGCTAGAAAAACCATTTACTGTTTATAGGCTATTGTTGCCCTAAGTTTCAGGAAACTGCTAGAGAGTGCTGCCATGTTATAATTTGGTTAAAGTGATTGTAAAGGATCAGGGGTTTTTTTTGTTTGTTTTTTTTTTTTGTTTTTTTTTATAACAAACATGTTATACTTACCTGTCTTGTGCAATGGTATTGCACATCGCTACGCCAATCATCCTGTTATGGGATCTTCCTAAAACATTTGACTTCTCCAGGAAGAGTAATAAGTTCGCTAGCACAGCCCTCTCACTGTATGCACGTCATAGCCATTTCTCTTCTGTGAGTGGCTGTTTACTCTCTGTGCTGGCCCAGCTTCTCCTCCCCTACCTCACCTCCCTACATTTTTTGTGAAGCTGCCAGGGAAAAGGGAAGTACAGTATAGTAGCATTGTGTAACAGCAGTTTCAGGACTTTGGATGTCTACACAAATGTAGGCAAATGTCATTCATAGAAATGAGTGGCTCAGTAATATGGTCTCTTTACGTAAAGTGGCACTAGCTTTAGACTCCTAATACTACATACAATTAAAAAAAAAAAAAAAAAGCTGTACTAATTAAAAATTCAATTTTTGTAGATAGCTTTATTTCTTTAACCTTTGCTAGAAAAGTATTATCTGAACTTTGGTTACCATATACATCAAATATAATTGTGGAATACCTGCTGAGTATCTTTAGTTTAACTAATCCATCTCTTCTTTCAGATACCAAAGACCTGTGAGAATTTTATCAAGCTCTGCAAAAAAAATTACTATGATGGAACAATCTTCCACCGGTCTATTCGAAATTTTGTGGTAAGTACAATACTGCTTGCACTTTTCATTAGTATATCGCAAATCAAATTGTTTTGTTTTTTTTGGGGGGGGGTGTTTTTTTTTTTTTTTTTTTTTTTTTTTTTTTAACGTTTTTATTATTGTAGATACAAGGAGGAGACCCCACAGGCACAGGAACAGGTAGGATGAACCCTCTTTATTGACTATTTGGCTTTGTGCCTTGTTCACTTTTCTTGTGCATAGAACTCTGTGGTTTGTGTCTTCCTCAGGTGGAGAGTCATATTGGGGAAAGCCTTTTAAAGATGAGATTAAGCCAAACTTGTCTCATACAGGCAGGGGAGTTCTCAGTATGGCAAATTCTGGGCCCAACAGTAACAAGTCTCAATTGTAAGTATTTGAATAAATGCCCATGCTATTCTTTGTTCTGTATTGTGTTTTGGATTAATGTGGTTTAAAAGGACTAGATTTTTAATATATTTAACTTTTGCATTGCAGCTTCATTACCTTTCGCTCATGTACTTATCTAGACAATAAACACACAGTTTTTGGACGGTAAGTACACAGATTGCTGTATGTATATTTGGTCTGCTATATAGGTCTATATTTACGCTATTGTTCTGTACATAACTGCAGAGTTGTTGGAGGGTTTGATACATTGACTGCAATGGAAAATGTTGACACTGATCCCAAGACTGATCGACCAAAGGTAAATATTTGTCTCCATCCATTTCTTAGTGTGCCTAATTTGAAGAATGTTTGGTAATACAGGGTAAAAGGAATAACACAAGGATGTATGAGCCCATTAACATCTGTGTGGTTTCTTGTGTAATATTATATGAGGTTCACCACTGGAAACCACAGAAACCTTTAAAAATTAAAGTGATACTAAACCCAGGAGCCTGCATTCACTATACCTGGTCTCCCACAGTACACACAACATGGAAGTGCTATTATTTTAGTAAATATAAACTGCTAAATACCTTTTCTCATCAGCAGTTAGAGCAGTCTTGTGATTTCAGCAGAGCACTGGGTAAAGCTTGTATGAGGAGTTTTCTTTCTGCTCTAGGAGGATGTGAAACCTCTGACCCTCTGCCTGGACAATGCAGATTGGCCCTGTGCTGATCACATGCACCTTCCCAAGAAAAAAAAAACCTCTTAACCAAACTGAGCATGTGCATTTGACCACAGGTTCAGTCTTTATCAGGTGGTCATTTTAACAAGAAGAGGGGCAGAGAAGAAAGTATCAAACAACCTTTTTACACAATGCAGGTTCCTTAGGTTCCACAGTGACTATAACAAGCATGCTGTACTGCATATACAGACTGATTTTACTGTTGTGGGTTTAGTAACACTTTAACTTGTTTATATAGGACAGTTCTTATTATGTTTTTGGAATGCTCCTTTTTATGCATATTTTGTTATGAATAAACCTACAATACTGACATCCTGAATTAAAGTACATGTAACAGCACTAGATATTGGTTAAATCAAAGGGTTCAAATTCTTCCCATCTAAAAAGGCACTTTGATTCACACAAAATCTGTATCGTATGTTACTATATAAAATAAGTCTAATGCAACAGAGGTTTTAATTCTTCTCCACTTATGTGTGAAACCTAATGTCACATGCAGTTCTTTTAGGTCACATTTAATTCTTTCAAAAGCAGTTCTGTATGCGCCAACCCCCTGGAGAGAGAAGTAGTAGAATTTACAACAGCACTACTGATGTTAATATTTTGGAAGAGTTCACACTCCTATTGCCAAAAATGTGTTGGGTTTTCTTTCTGTTTAATAAAACGTACCCTAAATTCCAGTTTACCCTAAACTGTTACATAGTTTAGAAGGTTGAAAAAAAGACATCAGTGTGCCCAGGTCAACTAAAAATATCTGTTTTGGAGTAATATCTCCTCTTTTCTTTAATGTTCCTTTTATTATTGTCTACAAGACTATGCCACTTGAGCTGCTGTAGTAGAAATTAGAAATGTCTTTTGGGGGAAAAAAAAGCTACTGGTGATATCTGATAAAATATATTTTAGCTGTGAAATAGTTTGGCTTAGGAAGAACCAGGTCTTCAAAAGTGATAAAGTAGTGTCTTTTTATTCTGTTCACCCCCCAGGAGGAAATCCGGATAGAAAGTGCCACTGTCTTTGTAGATCCATATGAGGAGGCTGATGCACAGGTAAGTATCCTTTGCCAATCACATAATATATAACTTAATGGGTTCTTTCCTAGGTATTTCTTTTTCCATACTAAACCCTGCCTAGAAACTAAAAGGACCTTTTAAGTGAAAATAAAATCAATACCTTGTCAAAGCCTAGTTAAAGTCCGGACTTAAATCCGACTGAGATGCTGTGGCATGACCTTAAACAGGCCGTTCATGCTCAAAAACACTCCATTGTGGCTGAACTAAAACAATTCTGAAAAGAAATGTGGGCCAAAGTTCCTCCACAGTGATGTGAAAGACTCCTTGGCAGTTATTGCAAACACTTGACTGCAGTCGTTGCCGCCAAGGGTGGAACAACCTCTTATTAGGTTTTGGGGCAATTACTTTTTCACATAGGGCCAAGCAGGTTTGGATAGCTTTTTTCCCTTTAAAGGAAATCATCATTTAAAAACTGCATTTACGTGTGTTATCTTTGTGTAATATTAAAATTTGACTGATGATCTGAATCATTTAAGTGTGACAAATGTGCAAAAAAAAAAGAAAAAAATTCAGGAACGGGCATTGAGTTATTTTGAGGGGACAGCAAATTTACACTGTTATACAAGCTGTACGCTCACTACTTTACATTGTAGCAAAGTGTAATTTCTTCAGTGTTGTCACATGAAAAGATATAATAAAATATTTACAAAAATGTGAGGGGTGTACTCACTTCTGTGAGATTGTGTGTGTGTGTGTGTGTGTGTGTGTATATATATATATATATATATATATATATCTCAACACACAGCCATTAATGTCTAAACCCCTCTTAACTCCTCCATGAAAATGTCCAATAAAATTGGGAGTCCACAAAAGTGGCAACAAAAGTGAGTACACCCCTAAGTGTTCCCACTGGAAATCCATCCAAATTGGGGAATACCCAAAGTGTCAGTATTTTGCCTGTGGCCACCTATTATTTTCCAGCACCCTCCAGTCTTAAGTCCCCTCTTTGGGCATGGAGTTCACCGGAGCTTCACAGACTGCCTTAAAGTGGTGGAGTCCTCTTCCACTCAATGAATACTCCATGACGACATTGAGTTTGTCCAGTAATCCTTTGCAGCAATAACAGCTTCATCTCTTCTGGGAGTCCACAAGGTTTAGGAGATTTGTGTCTATGGAAATGTTTGTAAAATCTATTCAACTGTACGATTAGGATTGATTTGTGTTCTTTAAGTTTAAACCACTTTAAGAGCTCCCTTCACTGGAACTAAGGGGCCAAGCCCAACCCCTGAAAAACAACCCCACACCATAATCCCCCCTCCACCAAACTTTACACTTGGCACAATGCAGTCAGGTAAGTACCATTCTGGCAACCACCAAACCCAAACACGTCCATCAGATCATTGCCAGACAGGGAACTGCCTAAGTAGTGGCAGGGAAGTGTGATTGCCTTAGCATGCACTGACCCCGCTCTGTCATTTTACATGGCCTACCACTTCGTGGCTGAGTTGCTGTTGTTCCAGTTGATTCCACTTTGTTAGAATACCACTAACAGTTGACCATGGAATATTTAGTAGCAAGGAAAGTGCACAGATGGACTTATTGCACAGGTGGCAACCTATCACAGGTGGTACCACACTTGAGAGTGACCCATTCTTTCACAAATGTTTGTAGAAGCAGTCTGCCTGCCTAGGTGCTTGATGTTATACACCTGTGGCCATGGAGGTGATTGGAACACCTGAATCCAATGATTTAGAGGGGTGTCCTCAATACTTTTAGCAATATAGTGTACATTTGTGTGTATGTTTTATTATTAACTATTTACTAACCTAACACAAGTTAGGGGTTCAAAGAGCCTTTGCATACCCATGGTGCTAGATAAGTGGCACATTAGCAGTTATATTATAACCCTTTTGAGACCAGAGTTTTTTGAAGCTGAAATGGCCAGACCAAGCTTAGCAGCGTCCGTATGTGTCACATTTAATGACAACATACTGACGCTGCTAAATGTGGTCTGGGAAAAACTAGATTGGGGATTTGAGAACTACAGACACACAGAGCTGTGCAGTTCTCTCTGCTGCATGTTTAATTAGTGTTCTCATGGCAAGGGCAATTTAAATTTGAATTTAAAAAGGTGGTCATGAATAGACATGTCAAACATGTGTGGGTTTTCTTTTTAACATTAAAGCCTTCTTAACATATTTGTGTTGCAGTAACGTACACCTTACCACAAGTTACCATAAAATATGGTGCATTGCAGTACCATTTTCCATTAATATATCCATTGTGATGCATTGGCAGTCCATTAAAAATGAATCAGCCGCCTCATCACAAAGCACATTAAGGTGTGTCATAATGCATATTAACATGCTTGCAGTCATACACTGCAGACAGGTGAATCTAGCCTAACACTTTAAATGCTAAAACCCATTCATTGACCTCACTATAGCTCCTTCAAAGTATCTACAGCAGCTGGATATTTGCTGAACTGGGATGGAAACACTCTTTTGCAGGAAGCATTATCTGAGGCATATGGTTCTGCAGCTAGCTATATAATTAAATCATTTGTCAGCTCATTCTGATTTTGCTTGAATGGCCACCACTGACAAACCTTGTTTATTTCAAAAGAGGTAGTTGTTGGCCATTTTTGAAAATATGTATGTTCTTTACATTTCTTTTTTTTCCCTAGAGCAGTGATGGTCAACTTTCTTTATATGGGTGCCTCATGTGCGGCTCCCAACATGACCAAATTCAATGAATAGTCTTTATCTGAGACAGCATACACACAACAGGATATAACCAAAGATTATTGGCATGATGCAATAGATCAGGGGTAGGCAACCTTTTGAGAAGTGGAGATCTACCTGGATAACATGGAAGGGATCAAAGATCACCAGGGTGTGATGCCTTTTTTTTTTTTTTTTTATAAAGAAATTAACTAGCAAGCTCCCAATAAAAATTAAAGACAGCATGAAGAAGACTTAGTAATATCTTATAAAGCTAATGTCATTGTAGAATTTATAAACTTTAGCCTAATTTTAGCTTTAGTGTGAAACTGCATTCACATTCACTCACAATTTTTTTCATTTCTGGGGAGTAATTGATCACCTCCACAAGGCTGATGCTGGAGTTCATCATGAAAGCAAAACATCTGGTACTGCATTTTTTTTGACTGGTTTCAGGGCTGGCTATCTGCTCTGATTTCTGGCCAGTGTAAGTAGTATATAGGGCAGTGTGCTGAGACCAGTAGGATGTAGGGAAGTGTACAAAGGTCAGTGGTTGAAGAGAATTGTACAGCAGTATGAAGAGTAGTATATAGGGATCCGTAGGGCAAAGGACAGGGGTGAGCAGATCAGAGGTTAGCAGGGCAGAGGACAGGGGGTCAGGAGGGCCCTGTGCAGGAAGGTCTGGAGGCCATGATGCAGGAAGGTCAGGAGGGCATAGTACTTGGGGGTCAGCAAGGCACAGAACTTCTTTTCTTATGCAAAGTGGAGCAGGGAAGCTGCCATTGCAGAGCTACATGTTCTGGCGCTGATCCTGCTGGCCCTATCACGATATTATCTGCAAGCGCCATGGATGGATTGTATGGTAGGGACAGTGTGGAAGCGCACACTAAACTCAGTGGTGCTTGGACAAGAGCCCAAACTACCCCCAAGCTATTTTGGAGGCTTTCCTGCCCCTCAGTTACACATATGTAAGAGGTGGGGGGTGTCTCAGTAGCCTAGGATTGGCTGAGCCTGTGCCTGCTCTGCAGCTGTGGGGGCAACATGGGGACGGAATAGATCATCAGTGACTGTGGACATAGTACATGAGATGGTCTAAGATTGCGGACTTGATACAACAGATGGTCTAAGATTGCGTGATGATTTAAGATATGCCAGAGATTGTGGACATGTTGCAGGAGACTGTCAGAGACTGCGAACATGCTATAGGAGTTGATGTAGACTGGGGATATCCTTCAGGAGACAGTCACAGACTGGAGACATATTACATCTGGCTGCTAGAAATCACTAAATATAACAGGGCAATAAGGAAACATAGTTTCTTCAGGTGCATTGAGAGTCACACAAAAAGTGCCGCATGCAGCCCTCAGGCCACAGGTTGGGCACCAGGGCCCTAGAGGTAAGCTAGTGGCTACTTCTCCATACTCCTGTCACATAAACTTTTCCCATTCTTCAGTAAGTATAGGCAATCATAGTCTGCATGTTTATATAAAAACCTGTGAGAACCAATGTAGGACGGATGAATTGGGTTTGTACATCTTGCATTACTCTTTAAATTGCAATGTAATATTTGCAGAGATTTGTTTATAGTAATTTTGGTTAATTCAGTATTGCCATAATCAGAAAATGACTATAGGTCAGTATGAGTCACCTTCGGTTCCCACTGAAACAAGAGTTTCATTATGCTCTGTGTGTGCCAAACTGTTAACCCTGTTTTTTTTTTTAGATATATATATTATCTGTAAGATCATGTGACTTAGTTTTACTCCATCTCTTTCTTTTGGGCTGTAGATTTCACCTATTTTTGGCAGTTATAAGTGTAGTGCATTTGGAAAGTGATCTTGCTCAGCTGATATAGCAGAATAGGTGCATTCATTTTGGTGAAATTTCAAGTACGACTTCTGACTAATCTGTGAAATATTTGAACCTTTTATAGGTGGCATTAGAAAGAGAGAGAGCCAAGAAAGAGGAAGAGCAATTAAAGGAACCTGTAGTGCCAAAAAAAGAGCAAAAACAGGAGCCTAAAACGTACCGATCTGGTGTTGGAAAATATATCAATATGGCAGCAGCGTAAGTACCTTTTAGAATGGCACCTGGAAAAAACAAATATGATCAATAAGAGATTTATTAATTACATATTGCATGTGTGTGTGTGTGTTGTGTGTATATATATATATATATATATATATATATATATAGTTGTGTTCAAAATAATAGCAGTCAGACATCACTAACCTGATCAATCACTGTTTTTGGTAGAAATAATATTTCTACATGGCAAATAATTTACTAGCAGATGTAGTAAAGTAATAGAAATCAACAACAGTCATGACATGCATGCTGCTG